AAAACATAACACTGAAGAAACACACCACACACACACACATACACACACACACACACACACACACACACACAGGCAGGGACAGATACTCATCCTGAATACATGTGACCATGTACACACATTGTGTGCAGAGAAATGCCAGCACAAAGCATGAAAAGTGAGCCTTTCCTCCCGAATTAGCGAAGAGGGAGCTGTTTTTGATATTTACACCGCCTGCAAAGGCTTGTGACAGGATTCCCCTCACCAAGGTCAAAGAGGAGCCCCACATTAAGCTTTAATGGTAGCGCCAGTTAAATGCTCCATAGGGCACAGCCAATAACAAGCATTTATCACGGTGACCAACCAACACCCTGGCACGTCAACCTCTGTAAGTCTTAACTGATAAGGATCCCATTAATTTGTTTTTTCTTGGTTTTTGTCAGTGGAGCTTTCCATCAACCCACAATTACCACTGTGTTTCGTGTCGTTATCAGTCACTGTCTACATACGCACGTTATAGAGAAAGCCATTAAAACACACTCACGCTCACACTCACACCCAGCCCCACACAAATTAAACGTCCGCACACTACACAAAGCATGCTAACAGTGCCCTTATCATCTGTTGCTGTCCTCCTCGTACCCACCCAGCAGCACACTCCCTGCTCTCCTGTGAGGAGGCGTTGCAGTCTCTCATTTTAAAGAATACTCTACGTTTGGTTGCCAAGGGGTTTATCACTCTGCCAGGGTGCTGCTGACATGTCTGTTTCTACCATTCTGCTAGAAAGCTCACAGTGAAGTGATGGAATATACATACTGGAGGCACAGCGCATCACTGCACTCCACCATTATAATGCAGCATTTTCACTCAACTCTCTATAAGAATATGGTTTCCTAATATAAAATGTTTATCTTCCGTCTAAATGGAAAAGGATCAATGCTGAATGGATTTGCTGCATCCTCAGGCGCCTGATCCAGAGAGCACTTCCTGCCATGGAGGGAGAGGGTACAGTAGTTGGTCCTGGGCTACAGAGCAAACAGGTAGACAGACTGGTAATGGATAAAAAGGCACATTAGTCCTTGGTCTTGTCAGCACTTCCCC